CAGTCATGGTTTTTACCTGTTTTTCTAGCAGGATTATTAACAGCTCCCCTCTTTCAAGTGTTCTACTTTGCATGATACCTTCTGTGATCCCCTACTGATAACCTCTCCAGCAAGAAAAACTTGAGCATCGTACTTTCATCTTACTACATGAAAGGATCAGAATTTAAGTTAATTTTTTAAAGAGTCTGTAAGATACCACCAGTAGCCCCAGCTTCAGCCCACCTGGCTAAATGTTGTTTTGGCTTTTGGTCTGGAGAAGGCACTGTGTATTCACTGGGTGCTATTACTGATGGCAAGTTCAGCACTTCAGTTGTTGTGTCTGAGCTGAGGCAGTTTGTACAGTTTTACTTTTTCTGCATCTCTCCTTCTAGTACCTCTCTTCCTTTGGGGGTTTATCTGTCTGCAGTCATCGTAGAACTTCCCCACTCAGTATGTAAATATCTCAGATTTTAGTCTGGCAGCTAATTGCATATACTTGCCAGTGGAGTCCGGGTATCTCCTTATTTAGCATGGGACCAGGAAGCCAAGAATGAAGAGGCTGAGGCGACTAGGCAGAAACGTGGATTCAGGAGAGTAGTGGTGACCTTATCTTACACTTGTGACTACCTATGGGAAAAAATGTGTGTGAGAGAAGTGAGAGATGTGTGTGTATGTAAATTAAAGCAGAGGCAACTGAAACTGGTCAAGTTACAACTGGAACTGCACAGCCTTTGTCATGGTTGGTGTGTTGTTAAGGGAGGTAGCTGCAAGTACTCCTCCCCCATGGTGGTAATTAGTACATTAAGAACTGTCTGTAAAAAAGCAGAAACAAAACAGACTACATTAAAGGCTGGAGCTATCTTCTTCTAAGATGTTAGAGGTAGCCCATGCAGTCAGCTGTGAAATGATTTGAAATGCTTTGTGAATCACAGTATCTGAGATAAATTGGTGAAAATTTATCATTAGTTCGGACCCCAGCACTGTCCTAAGTAATGTTTGTAAATTCTATAAGCTTTGAGCAGGAAGAAAGGCTGATTCAGAGAAAGTGTAGAACTACTGCAGTAGCCCCTCCACAATGTCCTGGGCCCCTGTGACTCAACTCCACGATATTGCAGTCTCTCAGAATGATATGCTCGCATCAAAGCCCTTCGTATCAATAGAATTCTGAACAAATGTTTTAAAAGAGCCAAGCATTATTTTTAATGACTTCTAGAAATCACCAGAGTTTGCCACACTGGCTGCTGTTAGTCCAGTCTTCAAAAAAGAGCAAAGAACTGCAGTGGAACAGCGTCTAAATGTTTCCATTGTCTCTCTGTTTCTCTTCTGTTTCATTTCTCACCCACCACACCCCATGCACACAGCGCAGATGCTGACCCCTCTTCCTCCTAGTTCTTACTGACGTGTTAGTTCCTGCAGTGCTCCTGGATTTTCTCTGTGCCTCCTTATGATTGATATGCTCCGCTTAGATCACTTTCTCCCCTCTTCCCTAGTGAATGGTTTATCCTTCAGTTCTCAGCTTAAATGTCACTTCCTGAATTTAGAACATCATCGATTTCATAAGCTTTTATATCAGTCACAATAGGCTAAATTATGCTGTGATAATGAATAGCCCCCAGACTCTCAGGGGCTGAACACTACAGAGTTTATTTCTTGTTCACACTACATGTCCACCATAACTCAGAGAGGAAGCTCTGCTGCAGCTTCTGAGAGACTCAAGTTACAAGGTAATAGTGGTTCCATCACACGTGTGATTCCACGATAGCCAAGCCAGGAGAAAGGAAGCACAGTGAACCAAGCCATGGCTCTCGAAGCTCCTTTCAGAAAGTGAAATACTCCACTCCCACTCCCAACGCAAACCCCATAACCATCCCTGACTCAAGAGGGGTTGGGAAAGTGCAGTCTGACCACGTGCCAGAAAGAGCACTAGGATGTGCGTGGCGTCACCCCAGACTCCCACAGCTCCTGGGCTGTGCGCCACCACATCCTCTTGTGTCTCCTCTAACCTCATCATGCTGTGCTTCATCATAGATGTTACAAGTGACCTTAGCTATTACTCTCTCCATTGCCTTCATTAGTGCTTGACACATGATATGAATTCAAGAACATTTGTTAAATGAGTTAACAGAACAACGCTCCAAGATTCAATCCTCGGCCCTTTATTCTTCTACTTCTACCTTTGCTCCTTGAAGATTTCTTCCCTCTCATGGTTTCAGCATTCACTGCCCTGAATGAGATGTCCATACTCTGACTTCAGTCATGCATCTCCAACTACTGCCCTGTATGTCTACTTGACTTTAATGCATATATTTCAGTGTATTCCTTCAATAAGGGTTTATTGATCACTTTCTGATAAGGCATCATATTAAGTGACATGGATACAGAGATAAATACAACAGTACTTGCCTTCAAAGAGCTAGCAATCTGGTGTAATATAAGGAAGAATACTATGAATCTGTAATATATACACAGTACAAAATGCTATACCGAAGGAAAAGAGAGGCAAGTAACTTGTGACAGGATGAAATTAAAACTTTGTATTGTTTCAACCATTGAATCCATTGAGCAGAAAATACTCTTCTGTGCTGGGTACAGGGGGGTAACATGAATAAAGGTTTTATCCACCTCACAATCCAATGAGGAGACAGATGGCTCAGGATGAAAGGGTAGATGACTGACGGGTACAGGGGATGGTGCAAAGGAAAGCAGCAGAGGCATTCTTTCCCACATGTATGCAGCAGATGTTTATTAGGCACCAGTGAAGCATCAGACCCTGAAGACATAATGCCAAGGAAGACAGTTCCTACCTTAAAGAGTATACAGTGGGTTAGGGAGGAACTTACCATGTAGATTGTCACATGAGTTGACATTTTGCTTTTGGGTTTATTTTTGTTGATGAGTTTTTTTGGGGTTATTTATTTATTTTTGCATCTTTGAGAGTGACTTTTTGAGCATAGAAAAGACCGTGTGTAGCTAGTTAGAGGTCTAAAAAATTAAAATTCAACATATTAAAATTATATAATTTAAGATCTAGGTTTTCAACACAAAAGACAATTTAAACTTTAAAAAAAAATCCACTTATTTTATTCTTTTTATAAGCCAAGTAAAGGGTAGCTTAAAAAGAGATTTTTACAACTTCAGTTTCTTTAAATATTTTTAACTGTACTTAGACATTTAAAATGTTTTTATTTTCTCTTTGAAGTACTTCAGCTGTATAACAAGCAAAACATTCTAAGTTTCAAAGTAAATCTGTCATTACATTTATTTAATAAATTAACACTATGGTGGCATAGTGGTAAAGAATCTGCCTGCAAGTGCAGGAGAAGCTAGAGACATTGGTTCAGTATCTGGCTTGGGAAGATCCCCTGAAGTAGGAAATGGCAACCTGCTCCAATATTCTTGCCTGGAAATCTTGTCCATGGAATCATGGACAGAGGAGCCTGGCAGGCTACAGTCCATGCAGTAGCAAATAGTCAGACGTGACTGAGCGCGCGCACGCACACACACACACAATAATATAATTATGGTGAATCTCAGGTTACTATTTGCAAGGCTATTAAAGTTATATTTCACCTTCCAGCATTAAAGTTTATCAAAATTAATTAGTCAACTGCATGTTTTAAATTGAACTAGCAAGGCTAATCTGTTAATCTAACGTAGTAAATTTTCTTAATTGTCACAAATGCTTTAAAGACCACGTATTCACAGGTTGTCTTTAAACATAATATGAAAAAGATTAATATTGTAGGTTTAATTTTCTTTATTCCTGTACCTAATTCTTTATCTTCTATAGTTAAAAGGTACCCAGTAAGGAATATCATGCTACTACCAAGCAAAATCAGGAGAGTGGTGGTTACCATCTTGGTACATTGAGGTTACTCATCAGTCAGATTGGAGTGGAATGCAGGGATTAATTCTTAGAAATGAAACCGGTGGGCTACACTGAGCACTGGAATAGGAACCGCCAACATTTACAAAAACGCTGGTCTCTAGACTTTGAGCACTTATATTCAACTTAAAAAAGAATTAATTCTTCTATCTGGCTTGAAATTGCTACTTCCTTGCCAGGATATAACAACCTCCTTCACTGCTTGCTTAATTTCCATTTATTTGGCTATCTTAAAATAATGTACTGTCATCTTTTGTCTAGTTCTAACAATGCCTCTATCTGATATTTTATACTTAGCTTTAATTCTTTTGTAGACACTTTGGCTGTTACACTCTTATTTGGGCTGACAGAATTCTCTGCTTTCAACGTTATTCCTGTTTGACAGGGCCACAGTTCCTACACTAATAAAATGACATTCAGTTTTACCCTGCACATTCCTGTGGCTCCGTTTAGCCCTTGAGTCACAGAACTGAAGTCATGCCCCTGACAGAGAGAGGAGAGACCATTGTGATAAACTTGATGGATTTGTCAGTTGATAAATTCCAGTTTTTCCTGAGCACGCCCCAGTGTGACGTATCCAGCCCTTGGAGCTGAAAGTAGCCTTACCTCCCCTGTGATCAGCTGTGATCCAGCTGTGATGTCCTGGGCAAGTCATTTAGCTGCTTCGGGTCTCCATTTCCTCACTTGTAAATTTGTAAGAACTCTTGAATTTCTAAAGTCCTATTATCTACTAAAGTCTAATTTTGTGTAGTCAGAAATATTGGGTGGGACTCCCCTGGTGGCACAGTGTTAAGAATCCACCTGCCAGTGCAGGTCACAAGGATTCAGTCCCCTAGTGGGAAGATTCCACATGCCACGGAGCAGTGAAGCCCCATTGCCGCAACTGCCGCTGCTGAAGCCTGTCCACCACCCATCCCCTCTCGCTGCAGCTAGAGAAAGCCCTCACAAAGCAGCAAAGACCCAGCGCAGCCATAAATAAATAAAACTTTTTTTAAAAGAATAGAAATATTGGGTGTTTTACTGTGTTTTGGGATGCGGGGGGCATTGGTCAAGAATTAGCTAAATTTTATCTTCTTGGAAATTCTTGTAATTTTTGAGGGCAGTGAGATAATCCATGGTTTTTCTTTTCTTCTAGATCTTTGATGATGCATATAAATCCCAGCTCAGTTGTGTGGTTGTGGATGACATTGAGAGACTGCTTGGTGAGTCATCCCTTCTGCCATTGTACTATCCTTGCCACATTACAGCTAATGTCTCACAAATTACAAGAGAAAATACAGGTGTTTATAATCTATGGGGCAATAGAAATAGCTTTCTTTATCTAATAAAGAAATGTAACTTCTCTTATATCTGAAGTCAACAGTGGTGTCGGTGGTAAATATGCCTTATGACCATAACTTTATAAGGGTCCATGTCTCATATTTTGTATCTTCCACAAAGTTCCCTGACCATAATAAATGATTAGTGATTTTCATTGATGGATATATTTGCTGTATTCTGTCTCAGAGCTGCCTGTAGCTCAGAGGTTCCATTTGCTAACTGGGTCAGAACTAAGGAAAGAAAAAGAGCTTAGGGCTGGAGTGAAATCTACAAGTTAGCAGTAACACTTGGGGCAGAAGTTGTCAGCTCTGTCTCAGTTTCCGTTCAGATGAAGCACAGACTGTATTCTCTTCCTTAGTTATCCCACAGAGTAAATGTAAAGACAGAAATGAGATAATGTTGTGAAAGTTAAAAACATTCTGAAAGTTAAAAGCCCTCTAAAGTAAAAAAAAAAAAGTCCTCTAAAGTAATTTTTTTAAATACCTATTAAACATCTCCTATGTTTAAGTGCATGCCTATAGAATACAAAGATAAATAAAACATTCCCTGTACTCAGCTCATAAGGTGTATTCCACAAATAAATGCCAAAACAGTGCTGTTACTCTTATATTTTATTTCTTCACACAAACTAGATAAATCTGGGATAAATTCATTATAACAGTGGCTCAGGATGCTGTAACAAAATTGATTGAAGTTGATCCCACCTGGTAACTTAATAAATATCTGAAAATACTACCAATGCCTGGTTAACTAACCCCCTTCTTCCTTATTAAGGGGTTTATAATTGTGTAGTAATGATTTCTTATTAACTGTTTTAACTACATTTCCCCTGCGATTTTGAGACTTATTTTATGTCCTCTATGATCTATTTTCCTGTTTCCTAAGGTAGTGTTTGTTATAAAACAAAGTAGGTATACGTAGGAGGTCTTCTTAAATAGATAGTTTTATCTGGTGACCTGGGTTTTGGATCTGCTATTTTTTGATACAGTTCATCTCAGTTTCTGGGATTATTTCTTTAAAAGCATTTAGGCACATACTCATAGCTCTGCGCAAATTCCTTTACCTAAACACAATTGAGATGTGTGGTCATAGCAACAGTACTGTGTCAGGAATGTTTGCCCTCCGAGTACATTTTCACTTGTATGAATAGTTATTATCTGTTCATGTTGGTTCATTTATTTGCTAAGTATTTGCTGAGCCCTTACCACTGGGCTAGAATCATTAGGGCTTCAGAAAAATAAGTAGTAAGATGCTGTCATTATGACATACATCAGCAAAAATTAATATAAAGTAGAACGTGCCGTGTGTTCTGGGCATTCAGAAAAGGGAAGATCACTTTTGACTTCAGAGGGCTGCTGCTGGAAGGCAGCTGTAAGCACAGGGCGAGGGTGCACACGCGGTACACAGAAAAAGCAGAGGGCGTGACATTTGTGCCGAATCTTGAAGGATGAGTAGGAGCTTAACAGATAGAAAGTTCTTTGAGAAATTCACTGCTCTTCGCCATCTGTGGGCCAATCTTCACGGCTTTACCATCATTTCACTTGTGTCAAAGTACCTTACTTCCATTATTACTACTTGTTACTTCCCCTTCTATCCATTTTCTAGTATCTTGTTTTGTTGCCTTGTACTCACCTGTATTTGCCAAGGTTTGCAGTAACTTCTTGGAAATGTTTAGTCAATAGACCTGGGAATTTTTTTTTCCCCTTTAAAAAAAACTGTCTCTGAATATCAGACAAAGATGTCTACAAGCACAAAATGGATATTTAGAAGCTTTTTCCTTGTTCTCATTTGTTACATGACTTTTATTTAGGACTGTTTTTACTCTTGATGCAGAAAAATCTGTATGTTTGGAATATGTGCATATGTATATCGAATCCCTAAACACAGCAATGTTTCTCTTCCAGATTATGTCCCTATTGGCCCTCGATTTTCTAATCTGGTACTACAGGCTCTTCTTGTGTTACTGAAAAAGGCGCCTCCGCAGGTAAAAATAATATAAGGAACATTTTCACAGAGTTGTTCCAGTAAATTATACAATGGTGCACTCTCTAAATAAGCAGATTATCAAAAACTTGTAAAATTATCTTGTTGAAGGGATTTTGCAGGGTCATCCAATCTGGCCTTTCTGTCTTAAGGTAAATAATTTTCTTAATCACTTCTCTGAATCAGAGAAGTTTTCAATTTTTTTCTGAAAATCTCAAAATTCCAGTTTCAGTTAGTATTCTGTTTTGTTCCTTTATAAATTCACCACCATATTGCACATCCCTTTCCACCCCTTCTCCCATGAGTGATATTAATACATGATATTAATGTAGAAGTGATTAAATACATGTTCCCATTTGTTCCATCTTTCATAGATTTTTTCTAAGAATTTGTATTTGGGGAAATTTATGTCCTGCAGGGAGTTTTGTTTTGTTTTTAGTTTTTACAGATGAGTTTGAATTTTTCTCATGTCATGTGGCACTTTTGAAGGGTGAGTTTATAGCCAGGATCTTGGTTCCCCTGGTTCCATTTTTACTGATGTGGCTGTTGGAGACTGGTGATTTTGATAGCTTAACACATTTAAACTGACCTATGAAGGTTGGTTAAATATGTTAATTATGGAGAGGCTGCCAGAGCATGTTTGGCTGTGACACAAGACATGAATTCTCTTGGTTGATTCTGCATGTTGTAACCTTGAAGAAATGCCAACCAAAGGCAGATACAAAGGGGTGATGTACTAACTTAAAAAACTGTATGGAAATTCCATATTTGAAGTTAAAGACATAAATCAAGTTGTATGGAAAATATTTAATGTTAAGCTGGTGAATCTGATATTTAAGTTAACAGTTAAAACTGTATGTGTGTATGTGTTAGACCTAAAGGTAGAGGACTTGTCTTGATTTTCTAGGGTTTATTTTTTTTCTTAGATTAGTGAAAAGAAATATAACCTACAACAATCTTGAAAACTTACTGTATATTTGCACTGTGAAGGATTTTTTACATCATTTTCCTGTAAACTGTTACTCCCAATAGTTGAAGTTTTAGGTTATATTAAAGCTGAAAATAGAGAAGTGAGTGTTTTTAGAAATAAATAGAACACATTAACAAATGACTTCCAAAATCTTGAATAAAGACCTAGGAATAACTGTTTCTGTTTTATAAAAATAATTGTAAGACCTTTGAGGAAAGGAACATTATCTTATTACCATAATTAAAAAGTCAGGGGAATTCCCTGGATGTACAGTGGTTAGGACTCTGGTCTCTCACTGTATCATTCAACCCTTGGTCAGGGAACTAAAAAAAAAAAAAATCCCACAAGCCATGTGGCATGGCCAAGGGGAAAAAGTCAATAACAAGTGTTGGCATGCAGATGGAGAAATTGGATCCTTATACACTGCTGGTGGGAATAGGTAAACTGTCCAAACTTTGGAAAACAGTCTAGCACTCAAAAGCTTAAAGATAGGGTTTCCACGTGCCCTAGCAATTCTATTTCTAGGTATATAACACGCAGAAATGAAAATATATATCCACACAAGAAGTTGTACATGAATGTTCATAGACACATTATTCATAATAGCCAAAAAGTGGAAACAACCCAAATGTTCATCAAATAAAATAAATGTATGTACATATAATGGAGTGTTAGTCGGCATTTTAAAAAATGCTGAGTACTTGGTATAACATGAATGAACCTTGAAAACATGCTCAGCAGAAGAAGCCAGTCACAGAAGACTACATATTGTGTCATTCCATTTATGCGAAATACCTAGAATTGGCAAGTCTGTAGAGACAGAAACCAGATCAGTGGTTGCCCGAGACTGGAGGAGTGGGTGAGGAGAATGAGAGGTGACTGCTGGTGGATACTGGGTTTCTTTGGGGCATGATGAATATGTTCTAAAACTGAGTCCAGTGATAGTTGCATATGTCTGCACAATCTACTAACAACCATTGAACTGTACACTTTAAGTCAGTTAACTTTGTGTTAATAGGAGTTACGTCTTAATAAAATGGTTATAATAGATAGTTTCAGAAGCTTAAATGAAGAAAGGAGGATTCTATGAAGAGCTGAATGTAAGGAGTAAGCGTACATGACCCAGCTTGGGAGAGATTTTTGGAACAGGAGTTGGATCATTAGAAAGGGATGTGGAATGAATTTCTCTTAAGGATTGGAAAGGAAGAATATAGGAACATTAAGAAGTAAAAGGCAGATCTGGTTGCCTTAGTGATCGGAAGTGGCAGGGATTCTGATAAAATACCAGCCTGTCCTTAATCAGAATTGGGTGGCTCTGAGCTGGACTGCTAGATGACCTGCTGTGTAAGAGAATCAGCAGCAGAAGAAATGAATGCTTAAGATATTTCTAGTTGGCATATATTTAACAAAATAAAAATGTGGTTTCTCTGTACCATCTTACTTTTTAAATTAGTTTGTATCCTCTGAAGAAAATAAGGGAGAATTTTTCAAGGTGATCCAGTGTCAAGACTTTGTCATTCTGAAGTAGAAGCCTTCACTTTGCCAAAGCATTATCGTGTAGGCTTTTCAGCTGTTTGCAGTTAAATATTAAAAGTGTATGAATCCCAATGTTGTAGGGATGCGTAGACTTTTAGCAGAAAGCTATTATTTTATCACTGTCAAGGAAACAGAAAAGTTGTAGGCATTTTTCTTTAAAAAGAGGAACTGTACATGCATACAGTACAATAATCATTACAGTCACAGAACCTTTAATTTTGCATTTGTTGTAATTCAGCTTTCACATAGAAAACCTGTGTGTGCATGTGTGCACATGCTGAAATAAAAGGATCCTTTCAGGGGCACTATGTTGTCATGGATCAGGATATTCTCTTTTCTGCTTCTCCCCATCCCCCACCTCCCCTCCTTCGTTGTAAATTGGCTTTATTAAAACTGGTTCACAAGCCCTCCTTTTTTCCTTTGTGATTGCTTTGGTCTTGGATTTTCAGTGTAGGACTAAAAATTCAAGTCAGATTTCAGTTACTAGGATAATTTTCTTTGAATTTTAAATTTTTCTAAGTAAATGCATAGATTTTTAATGAACCTGGTATTCAGTAGATTTGCTTTCAATTTAGCTGGAGAGTTAATTTCATGATTGATTTATTAGCCCTTTGAAAGTATAAAAAGTGGTATCTGTAGTTCATGAAGACTGAAAAACATCATCACATTTTGTTTAGCATCTTTTTAAAACCAATTAAAAGCTTTTCTAAAATGGATTGAACAGGAGAAAATAAAACATGTTCCCGAGGTCTTTATTTCAATCAAGTTTCCCTGTGTTCTGCAGGAGAAGAGATCGAGGGGGGATAGAAAAATTGAAAAGGGCTGTCCCAGCAGGGAGCCACGCTGGAGAAAAGGGCTGCTCTGAGAACTCAGCAGCAGTAGCTAAGAAAGCTCCCAGCCTGCTTCATCTACATGCAGACTCACACAAGGCATGGGGGTGCTCACCATCACCACAGAGGTTTCACATGTGCTTCCCTGCTGATTCCTGTGAAAAGCTAACAATTGGCTTGGAGGGTAAAAGACCACTGCAGTTCACCCTCCCTGAGCTGGATGTACAATTTATCCAGTGTTAGGAAATGTCCGGCTTAGCAGTGAGAGGCTCGAAGACACCCCTCCTTCCAGTGAGATTCCTAAAGCCGGCTCTTTTGCTCGATGACACTGGGGCTCTTTTCAAGTTTTGCAGATTTATGGAAGTCGAGGGGAATGTGCTTTTCAGGATCGGGAGGATGAAAGCCTTAGTCTCTTCCCGTCAAGAAAGAGGCAGTAGTAAGGCAGTAAGGCCAGGTAAACCTTCTTGCAAACTGTAACACGAACAGCTTTGTTATTTTCCTCCTAGATCTCTTCTGGCACCTTCTTTTTTTTTTCCTTCCGGGAGACAAAGTGCCTGAAAAGGAACTCCTCAGCTGTGAAATGACATGACTTCCTAGTTTCCTCAACAAGCGTGAGAGCAGTTAAGCCCATTAACCCGACTGCCTTAATGTTTACCTGACAGTTTTTGCAAATCAGTTTGGAAGACCTCGTCCATCTGTACCAGAGTAACCTTGTAACTTACAGAGAACCACAGCCTTTTTACTTCAGTGCTTTCCAGCCTTTTTCATATCACAGCATATAGAAAATAATAACATCTAATGATATAGTTGGGTAAGTGGATGAGGCCAGTCACAGCTGGCCAGAGGTGCAGCCCCACCAGGTGCCAGCCCCCTTCCCAAGGGCTGAATAGTATTAATACCATAGAGCATTTATAATTTATTCACAACATTCCAGCTGGCAAAATCTTTGGAAACTGTGAACTTTTACAAAAGAAGACCGCTCCAAATTAATAGCAATATTACTGAAGTAGACCTCAAAAGACCTCACAGTTGTTAAGACTTTTAGCTAAAAAATAAAGTTGTTGAGAAAAATTCCTTCCTCACTGCTCTGGCACTTAGGAATATTAACCTGAGAAGAAAGAAGTAGGGCTTAGAGCTGGGAAGGGTGTAATGTGTGAACCAATAAGACTGTTAGTAAATTCCTGATGGGAATTCAGGCAGACATGTTTGTTTCTCCATGGGTTTCATTTAAGGTCACAGATCTCTAGACAAGATTGCTTTTCCTGTAATCCTTATGTGATATCTCAGTGCAGTCTTACTTCAGATATATTATTAGGAAGTCTTGGTGATATTAAGCAACTCCTCAGGCTTTGGGTTGCTTTAGCGAAATAAGCAAATAATGGAAGAGACTCCAAATCATGCAGGCCTAAACACGAATATCTCTCTGTCTATCTGTTCAAAATTAACTCGGGCTAATGACTATAATATGACTCAATAAGATATATAACCACTTTAGGAAAGAGGTTTAGTCATTTTGCCAGACACATTAATTGTAATCACTGATGTGGTGACTTTTGCATTAGACTTCTTTATTGAAAAAAATCTGGGTGATGATTGACAGTTTAGTAGCCCAGTTTTCCCATTTGTTAAGTCAGTGATATTAGATGGCTACTACAGTTTATAAAT